GAGGGGGAGATAACTGACATGTCTAAATGGGGAATGTAAATCAACTCATCCAAGCATTAACGCCTGATTGAAAGGGGATTAGACCACCAAGAAAACACAAAGTTGTTTAAAATAACGAAATTTGAGGCTATTTTCCCTTTCATTCATGCCTTCAACATTTACAACAGGATGAAACAAAGACATACTTCTTTTTTTTTTTGTTTGGAAAATTAATCTAGACATACTTAATCTCCACATAAAATATTATTGCTCGAGTTCTAAAACAATGAAGATGGAAAAATTCTAAGAAGATGGGAAAAATTACAAAATACTAATATTTCCACTGCAGTCACTTATGTTATGACCAACTATTTCCATATTTTGAATTTGTAGGCAGTATTGCCATCCCTGCATCTAACAGTCAACCAGACAGAAGTAATGTTGAAGATGAAATAAAACACACTAATGGAAATTTTGATCAAGTCTGACATCCACCTGTAATATTCAGAGTAAAATCAGTGAAACAATTCAATTAAGTAGCTCTAAGCATAAACTTGGCATAAAAGAAATTTGAGCTAAGCAGAATACAGGCAGATGAAGATGAAACCTGATTTACCTGTACACCGAGAGAGCAATAAATGCACAGGACACAGAATATGGTTCCAAGGTACGGCATCAAGCTTGGTATTAGGGTCAAAAATGTAGCAACAAAGGCTCGATATCTCTTGACATGCATCAAGAGCCTAATTAATCGAAGCATTCTTGCAATAAGAAGATAACGGATCCTGTCNTCCTTTGAAGCTCCATCCACATTGAGTTTTAACACATTTACAGGTGGAGACTCCCATTGACAATAGTAGCTTCTCTTTGTAGAACCGGAAAGGTAAGGGAGGCTGAGGAATTCATGCATCACATGAATTGGATCGGCCCGGTTCCTAATTTCATTACTTTAGACACCGTTTTAAATGGCTATGGAGAAGTAGGCAACGGGTTGAAAGCCTTTTCCTTGTTTGATGAAATGATTAGGATGGGTCACCACCCTAGTCATTACACATATGGGAGTCTACTGAAAGGACTATGCCAAGGAGGACATTTCGAAGCGGCAGTAAAATTCTTGAGTAAACTCCATTACATCCCTTGCAGTGTGGATGTTGTTGTCTACAACACATTGCTAGCTGAGGCCTGTAAAGCAGGGAATTTGCAAGTGACAATAATCCTTTTGGATGAGATAATCTCCAGTAATGTGCTCCCTGATAGGTACACATATGCGAATAGCCATGAAAGTTTTGAGAAATATGGTTATGGAAGGTACAGTGGTTGATAACCGTACTTTTGACATGCTAATCACCAAATTCAGCAGCAATGGTGAGATGGGAAAGGCCTTTGATCTCTTAAATACTATGAAATCTCTTGGAATTTTGCCAGGCGGAGATACTTACGGTTCCATACTTAAAGGAATCAACAGGACATGATTTTCACGTATCTCTCACTTTTCTGCTTGAAATGTTGGAGAAGGGTTTTACACCCTACTAATAGACAATATGTTACTTTAATTACTGGTATGTGCAGAGTGGGAGATATACAAGGAGCATTCAAACTAAAAGATGAAATGGAGGCTCTCGGAATTGGCTCCCAAAATGTGGCTGACAGTGCTATGATTAGAGGGCTTGTGCAGCATGGGAAAATGGAAGAAGCAATGCTGATTCTTGATTGCGTGCTTAGGGTGCAGCTTGTTCCAACTATCGCCACTTTCACAACTCTGATGCGTAAGTTCTGCAAAGAATTTAACCTGACGGAGGCTGTAAAACTAAAAAGTATAATGGAGTTTCATGGTGTAAATCTTGATGTTGTTGCTTGCAATGTTCTCATTACTGGCCTTTTTGCTAGTGGTGATATTGTACAAGCATTTGATCTATATGAGGAGATAAAACAAAGGGACCTCTGCCCGAATACCACCACGTTAAAGATGCTCTCTTGACCAAGAACAATATTGTGAAGGGTGAAATGCTTTTGATGGATTTACAAGATAGGGGATTGATATCTCGAGATCAAAGCACCCAAGATTTGCCCAAAGGTTTGATGGTTGCTAGAGGGAGAAGTTAAATTTATTGAGGCACCAAAGGAGGAGAAAGAGAGAAAAAAAAGGTTGAGGACAGGACCATTGTGGAGGCTTGCTAGCAAACGAGGTTGTGATGGGAATTCCTTTACCTAGCCAATTGGGATGCAAGATGAGGTTTGTAACAGTTTGAATCTTCTAATTTAGGGAGAATTACACTCAAACATCTTGAGGTTTGTCACTTAATCACTCAGATCATCTGACATTTGAAATATTACACACAGAACTCCTGAAGTTTGTACGCGCGTAACACTTGGACCCCTGCATGACAATTAGAATGATACAAATTACCTCTTCCCCAAGATTTGAAGAATTAATCTCCACTTCCATAACCAAACTTGTTTGGGCACCCAATGACTTCTACATATATGCCCATTGATATTAAGGATTGGAAGAGAGTAATCCGTGGTCCCCTCCCAATGGTTACTTGATAGTATTTATATCTGTTTGTGGCGGAAATTTCTTTAAATATTCTTGAAAAGGTTTTTTAACTTGAATACTACATCTTTATTGCTTCCTTCCCTTCTCCCAATCAATAGTTTTTGAGGAAACTGAGGTTTAGAGAACCCAGAATCTAACTTACAAAGCATGGAACTGAAACTACTGTTAGACTAGCCTAAAGGAGGAGGGATCGTGCACTTTGGTTAGGCAGATGATGAGTGAGGACTTACCACAATGTTGATGATTGGATAAGTAGAAAGATAGTCTTAAGTTTTAATTCTTGCTTAGTTTTCAGTCATGCACGGTTCCACTCTTGATTTCCAAACAATTTTATTTTGTCGTCTTTCCAGATTTGTCATTACACAACAATTCTATTGACAGTGGGTTTTACTTATTTTTTAGAGTTGCTATTGTGGGTCTTGTATGGGTAGAAAGCAAGAGAATAGAACCTTCTAAATTACCCGGATGTCAAAGGTGCCAATGCTAGACTTGATAGTGATAGGCAGGTTTATGCTGTTCCCTGCTATTAAACCAGGGGTGGCTGTATGTATGCTCGTACACCGATTCTTGTTTGGATCCTTTTTTTATTCATTTTTATGTTGTTTCACTGTATGCAGGAGGAAATCCAGAAAAAAACTGGATATATTGTAATGCGGGCAGAGGGAATTTATGATGTGGGGGATGCTAATACATCAATTTGATCAGCTTTCTGAAGATCTCAATATCAAAATACCGGAGGTAATTCATTTTTCCCCTTGTTTTAATGAGTTGGTTGCTGGTCTGGAGGATTGAAGATTGGTGCACTACATTAGTTTATGCTCATACTCATTTTTTTATGTTTGTTCATTTGTGCTGAGGCTCATTGAAAATTGGTGAACCAATCTGAGTTCTTATGTTTGGAAAACCCAAAATTTTCTTGAACATCTCTCTCTCTCTCTCTAAACAAGAGAAGAATCCTGCACCCATGGGCATATGGCCTGGCAGGCCTTCCCTTTCCGATGGAGCTTCATGGGCATTGCCCCTTTCCCCAATCAGATGTTTGGATGTGGGCTATACTCCGTGAGGAGCCAAACGGGCGTATGGCCTTGCCATTTGACCTCTCTTGCCGTGTGACTAGGAATGCTCAGTGACAACCTCTCAATTGTCACCGCTTGGCCATTCCTACTACCACGATAGCACCTAGTGTGGTGTTCGGGCAATGAAGCTTACACTCATTCACATTGGTTCATCCTTCTATGCCCCTGGCCTTTTGCTCTTCTAGCGGTAAAAGGTGGCCGGCCATTCGTCAAGGCCTTGGAATCCGCTGGGCATCTCAGCGGCGGGATTTGATACCCACATCCAATCGAAGTTCCATTTGAGTGCCCCCTAACATAACGGAGAGAACTAACTAATATTATGTGATTTGCACTAAAAAACATAAAAAGAAAAACCTTGTGCACGGTTCTAGTGGATACGTAAGCAATTACAGAAGCCCTAAAGATCTCATGCTACTTTGCATTGATGCAAAGTTGATGCGTTAATTCCTCCATCTCCTTGTACATTGGAATGATATATCGAGTCTCCAAGACTTGCTAATCAAGTGTGTCCAGAGAATTCCATTGTTCCTTTACCTCCATCTAAGTGAAGAAACAAGTAAAATTCACACTTGTTTCTTTTGTTCTATTTATTTCCTCTGTTATTTATTTATTTTTTTTCCGATGTAATCTATATCCTTTTCTGCATTTTTTTTACCAAAAAAGGTGTTACTCTGGGGCATCCCCCCCCTCTCTGGTTTTGGGCATCAATGATTTATACTTCTTCACATTAATGGTTTCCCTTCTTGAGATTCATCAGTATGAGGCTGTGTTGGGCTTCATCTGTGAGGCATTTGGATATATCCCAAAGACAGGTGAGACCATAAATGTGGTACTTGAAAAGGAAAACTAGGAAGAACACAATGATAAGGCAGAATCTGACCCCGCATAAATGTGGTGCTTGAGGTATGACTTTCATTATCTTGCTGCATTTATTTATTTATTTATTTTTGTTTCCTCAAGTAGTGGTTGTGAATTGGTTAATATATTTTCTTTTTAAGTTTAAATCTATCCATGGTCTGTCAGGTGCTGTGTTGCATAACTGACTAGGAATTAGAATTCAAGTGTGCTTTGGATGAATAGCCATGGATTATCTTGGCTCTCTCAATGTGTATACATTAATCGTATCCCATCCATTAGGAGTCAACATTATTTAAATGCAATTGCTAGGAATGANTAGTAATTATAGTACAACAACAATTTTTCCCCAGATTTTTCCTACTCACAGCCAAACTTCATAATTGACGATAAACTTTGCATCCAAGCAACCACATTATCCAATTCTAAGGTCGATTACTTGCATCTTGGTTCAACACTCAAATCAGATTTTTGGTATCATCTTTGTTCGAGTGTTACTTTCCTATCACTCTACTTTTCTATAGTTCAACTTTTCAATTATGTGGTTTTTCTGTTAGGTTCTACTTTCCTAAACTTGTATCTGTAACCAATATCAATATAATATAAATACTTGATTGGGTATTGGCAACACACACCTTACACTCAATATTGTTTCATAATCTCTTTTTTCCCCTATTCTTCTACTTGTCTTTCTTTTCATAAACCACAATATTCAATTATTCAAGTTTCAACTTAATATCAGAATAAAATACTTTAATGAGTTCAGCTCAGCCCTAGTAGAGTGCCTCATTTGCGTTGGGGCGTGCCGCCACACATTAAGTTGTAGTTGTCCACATGGTCATTATCGGTTATTGTGGGGTGCTCGAGTTCATGTCGATGTCTTCGGTGTCTTATCATCAGCTTGGATCTTAGTGTTTTTAGTTCAGTTTAGCAATTTGCATCCTAGTTTGGTGCTAGTTCATGGGTTTGCATCACTGATCAGTTCAGGTTTAGTATTTATTCAATTGTTTGTGGCTCAGTTTGGAGCAAATTTTGTGGTTTCAATCTCAATTCAATTTTAATTTAGTGCTTTCAACGTGATTAAGTGGTTTTCGGCCCAATTTGATGTTGATTTAGTGATTTTTCGTTTCAACTCAATTCTAGTTCAATGTTTTAACCTGATTTAGTTTCGGTTTAGTGATTTATGGCTCAGTTTGGTGATGGTTTAGTGGTTTTCCTCCGGGTCCAATTCAGTTCAATATTGTCAACTCAGTTTAGTGTCGGTTTAGTGATGTCCGGGCCATCCGGCCTCTTGGTTCAGATTCGATTAAGTGTTTTCAACTTGGTTTAGTATTGTTTCAGTGGTTTTAGACATAATTTGGTGTTTGTTTAGTGATTTTCATCCCGATTCAGTGTTTTCAGCTTGGGTCAACGCCAATCTTAGAGCTTTCATCTCAGTTTAGTATTGGTTTTGTGATTTTCACCAATTCAGCTCCTTTTTGATTGATTCAACTCCAATTGGTTTACAATGTTCTCGACTGTTGCCATTCAATTTGTTATTTCCTATGGTGTTGTTGGTTGTGTTCATTTGTGTTGTTTGTGGTACGAGTGTTGTTATGTTTGTCCTTTGTCATTACATGTTCTTTTCCCTTATGTTGTCGTAGTCATCGTTGTTATTGCTCGTTTTGTTATGGTCATTCATTGATTCTCTAGAAAACTAAAGGGATGTCTTACACTTCACATGGAACAACCACCGGGATTTGTTGCTTAAGGGGAGAATCATGGTAGTGTGTGTTGATTAAAGAAGTCTCTAAATGGTCTGAAACAATCACCAAAGCTTTAGTTTATCATCTTTATTTTCTATGTGAAGATATTGCGATCAACTCAATAATTTTCTCACCAAACCATTAGTGCAATCTACTTTTAGTAGTTCTATTCCAAACTAGGCATTTTTTTTATCCCTATACTCCAACTAGAGGGGGAGTGTTAATTAGAAGGTCGAAAGCGGATCAGGAAGCCCCCGCCCGCTATGCTCTTTATCAACAACGCATTCATTGCATTCATTCATTGAATAATCAAGCGGAGGCGGCGTATTGAAAGAGCTCCTGCCAGATCGCTACACAAGCCACCGCTCTACGCCGAAACAGAGAGGAGCTGCTTATTCTACTTCTATAATTGACTACTACTGTTCATTAAGAATAAGAACGCTACGCAGAGCTTTCAACATTCGCTATGCTACGCGCTACGCGGCTCTATTCATTCCATCATTCAATACACACGGAGAAGAGAAGAGGGAAAGACCTATACTCTAATAAAAGGAGGAAACACTTTTTCTAAAAAATCCACTACCCGGCTGCTCTATGTATCAGCGCTAGAGACGTCGGTAGTCTCAAATCCGTCCCTTCCCCCACTCTTTATTGGCTCGTTTCGTAGGANTTTGTTTTAATTTAGTCAAGGAACAAAATATCGTTTCAAAACGGTCGAAACATCTGAAACATTTCCGTTTCTAAA